GTTGATTAAAAACTTTCCGAGCGACAAAATCGATGATGAAATTAAGTAAACAATCAATTTGCGTTGGCCAAGAGTGAAGGAATAAATGAATGAATGTCCGCCTTTAGTCGCTAAGCAAACACTAACCGTTCTCCCCCTCTGTGGGCCACCCCTGGTTTTTGGTATTTACGGCCATAATGAAAGTTCCTTCTGTCCCTTCTTCATACAAGCAAAATACATTTGCCTTTGTTTTGTGATGGGAAAGGGAAAGGGAAAGGGAAAAAGCTGGAGAAAGGTAATTCATTTGGTGGGCTGGGATGTCCTGCTGTTTCTGCTAATAAAACATATCCTGCACTGCAAGAATATTAATAAAGTTCTTAAGTTCTAAGTTAACTCATTTTTACCTAAGCCTTTCTTAGTTATTTTCAGTGATTTCTTGCAGTGTACATTTGGCCAGCCTGTTGCTGTTCATACAATAAAATGGCAAACTCATCGCACTTAGCGAGGCCTAAAATATTACTTAAGGGTCCTTGGAGTTGGTTCCCCTACTCACTCCCCCTTTATTGGCAATTGTCAACAGTCATTATGTGGCCCAAAAGTTTGCCCTCCCTGTCTAAATATAAAATTTCATCGCTGCACGTGTCAAACAAATAAAGAGCGAAATTTACAAGAAAAATAGTTGTGAAAAACTTGGAATACATTCTCTGGAAAAATTGTCTTAAATAAATGATGAACTTAAGGTAGTTTGTCTGTAAGGAACTTCGGTGTAAATCCACTTTATTTTCAAGGACTTTTGGCTATCTTTTTAAATAAGTTTTCTGATATTTATTTTTAACTATAAATTCCTAAATAAATTTAGAAAAAACCCACTTAACTCACGCGTTTCACTGCATAATGTGAGTAAACTGTATTTGTACAGTAAAAATCCTCCTTTTCTGGGCCTAAAGTCCGTGTGAATCACGACAGACTGAAACTCTGGTGGCGCCTAATTATTCATGCATAAATTACAAAAAAAAAAAAAAATAAATTATTGTCACGAGCCAAAGGCCTCGGGCTGAAACTCTCGGCCTATATCTACGCTGTCAACATGTGGCTCGGAGCATTTAAGCCAAATTTAGGTGGCGGCGCCAAACTGCTAAGACGGCTCAAGCATGTTTTTCGGCTTGGGTAAATAAATTAAGCGGCTTAGGATTGCATGTGTAGAGCTGCCATGGCTTCTTGTAAGCAGTTTGTCGCGCTTTCTCTCACACTCTCTCCCTGTTTTTTATTTTTTAATTAAAAGACTTGACGAGCATTTGAAAGGGGTTTGGAGATGGAAGAGTTTCAGTTAGGACTTCTAATAGAGCTCTTTGTTGTCTTAACAAGGTGGAGTATTATGAAATTAGTAGCACTAACTAGGCTTAAAACTCATTTAAAGCGAACTGCTTACGTTAAGAACTTCCTTTTGCATGGCAGAAGTTGATTATTTAACAGAATTTAAATATTTAAAAACGCATTTACCAAGCCACATCCTTCTCTGCGGCTTTAACCAAACTGAACAATAAAGGGGTTTATATATATATATATATTTTTAAGAGCTTCGCTCTGAGAGATGAAGAGTGCTTGGCGGCTCCTCTGCATAAATTATTCAGTTGCCCATATCGATGGCATTTTTAATTGAACTACCAAACGCATCGAAAACAACCGCGCAGCTCAGAATAAAAAAAAAAGGGGTGAAAAGGAGAGGAAAGGGGTTAAAAAAAACAGAAAACGGGTAACGGGAGTATCTTCAGTTCGTAAAACGGTTGAAATTTAATTAAATCAATGTGTTGATTTAATCGAAGTGCGGTGTCAGTGACAGGGACAGTGGCCATCTTAATATATGCTTCGCCGGGCAATGCAATTAATTTACATGATAATGCACCTTCCAAGCTGTCACAGCTTGACCTGCAATCAATAATTTTTCGGTAACCAAAGATACAGGAACATATTTTGTAGATTTATAGCTGACTTTGTCATCATTTTGTGCTTAATATAAAGAAGACATGCCTTCTGTTAGATATCAAAAGACAAAACTTTTCCTTGTAAGAGCTAGATTCTGGTGTACCAAATTATAAAAAATATAGAAAAATAATTTCACTTTTTAAAACACTAAATCCTTTACCCTTTCCACCCTTAGATAACTATAAATATCTGAAAGATAAAGTTAAAATATATATCCCCTTAACATCTCTCCAAAAAACAGAAACAAACCCAAAACCAATCACTAAAATGAAAAACTAAGAAAAGCAATTACAGTCTTTCTTTCAACACTGTCTATCGGAGTTTTTGGCATAAAATCGAATTGTTGTAAACCGTTAATCCGAAAGTCATACTACTATATGCTATATAGTAAAATATGAACCGACTGGCCCGTTGACAGGCTGTCCATCAAACTGTCTCTTGTTCCGTCGGCTGCAATATGTCGAACGGTTTTGTTTGTCTGTCCGTTTGTTGTTTTGTTTATTTGGTTCTTTGTTGCAGCAACAACAACAAGAACAAGAACAACAACAACAGCGAACCCGGGTCGAAACAGGACATTTCCCTGCCCCTCTCCAGCGAACCAACTATCTGTGATTGTCATGCACTTAGCCAGGCCTGACATAAGCCGACTCCTGTTCCCGTTCCTTCGCCTGGAAAAGCTGTCAGCTGTGAATTTACGATTTCCCTTAGCTATTGGAGGCGTGGAAAATGTGGCGTTTAAGTATAAAGCATAATAAAAATCCTGATCCGTCCTCTTTTACAAAAATTTCAATTGCATTCTACTCTTGGATAATTGATGAATACCAGCCATACCTCCCCTTGTCTTGACTCTTTAAACTTGCCCTCAAAATGACTGAAACTCATTCAGCTTTATTATTCTCTTCCCTCTCTCTTTTTTTCCAACGATTATATACTTCCTCCTTTTTTTTATTGCATCTGCATTGTCCTGTTGCCGTTTCTCGCTTAATATCCCTGGCAAAAAAGGACGAAGGCGGTTGAGGCGGAGCCAGGGACTGTGTCAGGCCAATATTTGACTTAAACAGAACTTTTTCCTAGCTCGGTGCTAGAAGAGAACAGTTTGCAGAAACAACGGCTGGCCCCAGGCTCTTTACTTTTCACACTCAACCCAAAGAGGTCCTTTCCCTTCAGATTCTTGCCAGTCTGTTTGGCTTTTCCTTTCCACACTAATAGAAAAATCAAGGGGAAATCTGCTTTATAATTCCCCTCTCTGTCTCTCTCTCTTATTTTGAAAGCTAACTAAGTTATCAGCTGGAAAAACCTTTGGTAAATAAAGGCAGATTCTCTTTATAAAAAAATAACTAAAAAATACCTAACACTTGTTATTTTCAATATTTTATATACGTTTTCCCACGCCTTCCTGTTTTCCCCTTTTTAATATAATTAAATTTTATTTTAATTTATTTACTAGAAAATCGAAAATAAACAACAAGATTTTCTGTTAGTGCCTTTTAAAGTGCATTCCTACATGAAATGAATTTTTGGCCAACTGCCTGGCAGGCGGTTTTAATGCGGTTAAGTGACCTGACCCAGACACTTCTGCTGCTCTGGCATATTTTGACAGCAAATTAACCGACAAACATGAATACAAATGGCAAATGCGAATGTGAATGCAATTTAGCGTTGGTTTAATTATTTTTGCATTGCATTGTGAAATTGGCCATGGGCCTAATTGAATGTAATTCTCAATGGATTTTTAGCTCTAATAAAAAGTTAATCCATATATATGGATTTTCATGCTAATGATGCCATAACCTTTAACTAGTGCCTTTCAACACTTTTTTTTACTGTCGAATGAAGATTGACATGCGAGGCGTCCATTTCGCTGTGGCATTTCCCTTGGGAGAAAGGTAGTCCAATCAGGCTGGAAACTCACCTCCTCGCACCATGTCAATCAGCAAATAACAATCTGACAAATGCAAATACCAGAAATTCAAATTGTATGCGATATAAATAATTCACATTCAGTGGAGAGCCAAAGAGGTTCTTTATATACTGAAAAATATATGTGAAAAGTTTGGTTTTCGTTGGCAGATTTCCACTGATTTTTCCGCTAGCTGTTACAATTTAAATTTTAATTAAATGATAAAATGGCAAAGAGAACAATCGTAACTTTAGCTGCGGGATTTCGTTCTCGTTCTCTTGCTTTTGGTTTTTTACCCGTTAAGTCGGGCATAAAGGCTGCGCGTAAGTTGAGAACTTAAACCCCTTCCGAGGCTTACGACAGTTCACGTGACGCATACGTCCTGTGGCCCTCCCCTCAGCATATCGTTTGTATGTATCCTTTGTGGGGATTGTGTCACCTTACACATTGTTTTTCTTTAGCCCAATTTTCGTCCACTGACGTCAATCGATTGATTTTGGAGTGTGTTTGTCTCCATTTCGATCCATTCTATCACTAATTGCACTTGACCAACAGTCAGACACGCCCGACTCATCATCAATACCATCAATCGTATCATACACATTTATTATGCATTAATTAATTGTCCAAAACTCCCAGGTATTGGGGCCAGAATTCAGTTGAGGTCAAGGTTGAAATTCCCTATCCAGGCTACATATGTCGACTTTATCCTTGGTTCCCACACTCAATCTGGCCAACGGACATGTCGGCATTAACTGTCATAACCTCTTGGCTGGGGACCCTTCTGGTCGGCATCATAAATGCCCGGCATATCGTCACATATGTCATTTGTGCCCCCCTTTTATGACTGAGTTTTTATTGTCATTGATGATGCCTTCCAGATAGTCAAAGCCGGCGGAATGATGCAAGTTACCTTGAACTCACGTTTAAATCGTTTATTCAAGTCATTAGACAGTGCAATTATAGGGTTACAAATGAGTGAGTAAACATCAAAAAAGGTTTGGGATACTTCATTAAATGTAATAAGATTATGTGGTTAAGAGAATGGTTTCGTGTTACCAACTTTGTATGTGGGTTAAGTTTTAGCTCAAGTAAATCTTCTTTCTACTTCTTCCTTTTCAAATACCCCAAACTTACTTCAGCTGCAAAAACACAACAAGCTAAGGTTAAACCCACGATTAATATTTGCCAATTGCCTCTGTAATCCGGCAAGTTCATGGCCTTAAAACCGGTTGTAAAGGGCAACTGAGTATACCTTGTCGAAGACTTCATTTCCATAATCGCCTCGTCAAGCCAATGCTGTGAAAGTCCTGTACTCCAAGCCTGAAATGTAAACTCCCGCAGAGCCAAGGCATATACAGAATTCTGTTCCAGAACAGCGGAGTGTGTAAGTCCACTGACCATATCCAATTCTGGTGCCCTACACAAGGCCTTGCGACGGGAATGCCTTTGGATCATCGTCGATGGATCCTTTTTATAGGTGAAAGTATGATAAGCATAGCTGGTATTCAAGGAGGTAATCATATTCATTTGCTCTTGACTTTTAACAATCCAAATATTTGGTAAAAACGTTTTAAAAAACTCCGGCTCCATCTGACGTTTGATAAGCATGTAGTTGAGGCGGTTAAAAACCACGGTAATGTTACTTTTCCGTAACTCTCGAAAGTTCATGGAGTGTCGGTATTGCGGACTCATAGTCAGGAGAGTGCTAGTCTGAGCAGCCAAAATGGAGGCCCACAGCAAGCCTGTAAAGCTCATAACTACAGTTAACTGTCCCAGAACGGATCTAAGTCTATTTCCCTTGGGAATCGACATGGAAAGAATGCAGGCCAGTACCCGCAGGTTGAAAATCACATTTAGAACCTTAAAACGGCTTGGATTTCTTTTGATTCGGTCGCATAAGATTCCAAATAGAACATCTATAATGCTCATTAAGATGTAAGATAGAATCATTGTTATGACCGTTGTAAGTCCGTAGACTAGATACAACCGTTCATAAACCGTCATTTCCTCGCCACAAGGCACTAAGATGGACAAGGTGGTAATGCCCAGAAAGGAATCTTTTCTGCTCTCGTTTGGATGCCTCATATTGACCAAATGTGCTGTCAACGGCAGATCTATCTCTCCTTTAATTGTCTTTTCAATAATATCCACTTGGGATACACTTTCGTTTATGGGCATCTTCATTTCCAATGTGATATTGTAGGTTTTCGCAAAACTTGTAATGATTTTATGCATATAGCCACCATGTCTTTTTTGACCAGTTTTTGGATCTATCAAGAAGAAACTTCGGGGTGGCACCAGGTCGGGTATTGTCACAGCTGTTTTGCCCATAAAATTACGCCAGAGAACGGGGAAAAGTTCTCTTTCTTCTTTGGGTTGCTCAATAACATTGATTCTTGGCTGGGAAAATGGATAAAATCGTGAAATTTGCAAACTCTTTTCGATTATTAAAAGATTAAGAAATTTGTGCTTATCTGCGTGATTTGCAATTCTCGAGCGGAACTTCTTAGAAGGATTCAGCTCTATCCAAATCATAATTCTAGCCTCTCTCATATGATTAAAGTTGGCAGCCAGTGAGGAAAGTAGCACTATATCCTCTTGAGTTTCCATGTTTGAGTTTCATCTAGACGCATTATAGGCCAGGGCAAAGGATAAAGCCCTTGAAGAATATCCCTCCTCTGGACTTTCCTTTGCATTACCAGAAGAGTTGAAATCGATCTTTCTTTGTCCACAGCTTCTAGAAAATCCTTCAGGAATAGACTTTCTTTCATAGAGAACGCCATTCCACTGACTATAAACCAAATTATTATTTTTAACTCCCTCATGTCTTTAGGATTTTTGGTTTTCGACTGGAATAGCTAGCAAGCATTGGGTTTGCTTTTAAATTCATATCCTTATATCTTGAAGCTAATAGAGTTTACATCTACACCCATCTAAAGTGCTCTGAAAGCCCATAATCAAACCAAGCGTTACGTATACGTAATATCTGAGATCTTATAAGAAAATTAATACTTTGGTACGCCCTCATGCCCTACTGACATCACTAACTGATCATCCCTATAAAAATATATTTAGTGACTTCTTTTGCTCCTTTTTTTGATTTAAAATAATCCAGATTTTTGTTGTTTTTTTTATGCATTTATTAAGATTATTAAGCAATAGTTGGGAATAGTTTATGTTCTTCTAATCGTGTTTACATTTATTATAATTATTTGTAAGAATATTTTACATTAATAAATAGGTGACATACTGACATTTACTTTCCCTATTTCTCAAATTTTCATATTTAAGGAAAATGTTAAAGGCATTTTAGTTAATTTATAGTTTTAATGTTGCAACTTTGCTAGCTTTGTTAAGTTGTTTTTAATAAACTTTTTCTAAAAGCGTTTCAACTAGTATAGTCGTGTAAATGGGTTTATTATCTACTTTCTTTCTTAGATAACCACAATCCTCATCCCTCCTCTTACCCTTCCCACCAGTAGCTCTACGATGAAGACACAAATAGCTAGAGTAAAACCCCCTACGAGTACTTGCCAACAGGCCTTATAATCCTGTAGATTCAGGGCTTCATAACCACTCACAATGGGTAATTTATCATAACTGATATTGCTAAATGTATACATGAAATCGCGCATAGCTTCACCGAACCAGTAATTGAACAACCCGGTAGCCCAAACCCAATCTGTGTAATCCTGCAAGGCCAAAGCATAAATTGAGTTCTGTTCTAGGACAGCGGAATAGGCCAAACCACTGACCAGATCCAATTTTCGAGACCTACACAGAACCTTTCGTTTAGAGTGGCTTTGCAGCATCGTAAAAGGATCCTGTTGGTATGCATATGTCTGATAGGCAAAGCTCGTATTCAAGTCAGTTATCATCTTCATTTGTTCCAGGCTTCTCACAATCCAGATATTCGGCATAAACTTTTGCAGAAACTCTGGATCCATCTCCAATTTGATGGTGTCGTAATTGAGACGATTGAATACAACGGTTATGTTACTTTCCCTTAACTCTTCAAAGGTCCTAATATGTTGGTATTGGGGACTCATGGTAAGCAGAGTACTGATTTGGGCTCCAACAATGCAGGATAACATTAAGCCCGCGAAACTCATTACTATGGTAAACTGACCGACTACAGATCGAAGGCGATTACCCAAAGGTATCGACATGTTGAGAATACAACGAAGAACACGAAGATTCAGTAACATATTCAGGTATCCAAAACGATTTGAATGTCGTTTGACTCGATTGCTTAGTATTCGAAGTAGAACATCCATGATGCTCAACAGAATGTAGGATCCTAACAGAAATATAGTCGATGCAAATCCATAGGCTACTAAGAATCCTTCCAGCATTGACAACTCTTTGCCGCAAGGCACTGCAATCGTAAGGGCTGTCATCCCCAACAGAGGTTGTATTCTGCTACCATTTGGATGTCTAAAGTTTATCAACTGCCCGGTCATTGGCAGATCTATCTCATCGCTAATTGTCCTCTCAATGATTTCTTCTTGGGTCACCGATTTATTCAAGAAATCTTGTAGTTTCAACGTAATATTGCGCCTTTGTGCAAAATTGTCAAACATTTTATAAACTAAGCCAGATCTTTTCTCTCGACCTGTTTTAGAATCTTTCGCGTAGAAACTTCGTGGTGGGACTAAGTCGGGCAATGTCAGAGCTAATTTTCCCTTAAAGTTGTGCCAAAGAACGGGAAATATTTTCTTTTCTTCAAGAAGATTTTCAATCACTTCGAACTTTGGCTGAGGAAATGGATAAAAACGTCGAGTGGTTAGTGTCTTTTCTATTACCAAGAGATTTAAGAACTTATGCTTATCTGCCTGACTTGCAATGTCCGCGAGGAACTTCTTAGAGGGATTAAGATCCAACCAAATCACTATCCTGGCTTCTCTCATATGATTGAAGTTGGCTGCCAGTGCGGAGAGTAGCAATATATCATCTTGGGAACCCATATAGACCAAGGCCAAGAACTCCTTGTTGTAATGGTCAACCAACTCAATTTTCTGAGTTCCATCTAGACGTATGATAGGCCAGGATATGGGATAAAGTCCTTGCAGAATATCCTTCCCCTGAACTTCACTTTGCATTAGAAGAAGAGATGATATAGATCGTTCCTTTTCCACTGCATTCAAGAAATCTTTAAAGAATTTAAGATGTTCCAAAGAGTAAGCCATTCCACTGGCCAGAAACAAAATTAAAAGTTGAACTTCCCTCATTTCTTATGGCGCTTTGAAACTCAACTGATGCTTTTGCCAGAGGTTTGTTTCACTTTTAAATTCATATTTGTATACGCCTCCACACTAATGTCATTTAAATCTAAGCCCCATCTAAAGTGCTCTGCAAACCGGCAATCAGGCAAAGGCTAAGCATTACGTATACGCAACGTAATCCGCGAACTGCGTTTTCATATTAAAATTAGCATGAATATTAAATTCAAATTACTTTTACGCCGCGGCAACCACCAGGTTTGTACATATTTAATTAAAGCCAGAGCCCATTGTACCCCCCGCCCCCCAAAAACTTTCGAAACACACACACACACACATGTTTATACAGATATGTCCTGCCATACGGTTAGTGCCTTTATTCCGGTTTTGGTTACTTTCCCCATAAAACCCACTCGAGCTGAAGCCCCTCAACGACATAATTTACAAAGCGCTTTGGCAGCTGTCTGCCGCTGTCTTCAGGCTCCTCCGATTCCAGGCTACCAGCTTCCTAGCTCCTGTCTTCTGGCTCCTGGCTCCTGGCTCTTCTGTCGCCTTACCGACACTTCCGGCTGCTCCTGCCCTTGCTCCTGTACCTCCTCCTCGACCTCTTATCGTTGTCAGTGTCAGTTTGTGTTTGTTAAAGGATGGAGAGAGGAGCAGCGAATGGCAGCCGGAGGAAGTGGAGCATTTCAAGCGCATTTAATGCGCATAATGTCAAATGCAACAAAGCAACAAACAGAAACAACAAACCTCAGTACAAAACCGCAAAAGAGTGGGTAAAGGGTAGGAATCCAAAAGGGGTTAAGGGTATCAGCTCTCAGTTTGGGTTTTGGTTTTTCTCTTACTTTTTGGCTAAAAGGTCACAAGCACGCAATATTTTTAAACAAGCTTATCTTGATATGAATTCCTTTTATCTAATTATAAGTTTTAAGCCAAAACTAGTTAGCAGGGCAATTAGGAAGTGTTGTGTTTGGTAGAAATTTAAAGGCAAAGGTTTAAGCTGAAGTTCATTGTTTGTTTGCCAAGCAATTATAGAAGTTAAATTGGGAGTATTGTTAGGGAATTATATCTTTATCATAGATAGACAAACCTATGTTGGTCGTTTAGCAACATTTTAAAGATTATCGAACTTGTTTAAGCATTTAAGTTCCTTTCCCCATAGAAACCACTTTATTTTTATTTCACCATTCGAAAACGTTCCCCATCACTTTGAAGATTCCTGAATGCGCGACCAAGCCCAGATAAATAAATAAAAAACCAAACTACTTTGGTGTGTGTTTAGAGGGTACCTAGAGATAAACTTTTATTGATATAAAAAATTACCCACGTAGAGCAAACAAACTGGAAGGGAAAGCAAGAATTGGTAAGGACAACAGTTCCATTCCGTTTTATCCAAATGCGAAAGGCGGATACGGATACGGATGTGGATGTGGATTCCACTTTCGATTGCACACTTGAGTCGACAGCGGATATACTGGAATGTAACGATGTTCCGACCAACGTACCTTTGGCATTTCTCCGGGCCCAATGTTGGTTATAGTATTATGGTGTATATAGGGGTTATAGGGGTATGTGGTGTATGGTGTTTATGATTTCGTATTGTGTCTGAAGATTTTTATTAAGGCTCCGCTATTACTTTTTGCTGGCCGTGAACGAGGCCCAAAGGACAAACATGGATTGCGCGAGCGCGGCATTGGCAATAAATTCACGGCGAAAACTTTCGGCAACTTGGGTTTGTCCTCAGGTGGATGCCCCACGATAAATTATGGCCCACGGGTCAACTGGCTGGTCACAGCCTCATTTATTTATGCACATAGATTTCTGTAGACAGCGAAACAAATTCTCATGGAATTTTCCTTACTTTTCTTTCTTTTTTTTTATAGCCACTTGTATTAAATTAAATATTTAACTTGAACTTGGTGATTTATTATATTCGTCTTATTGATTATTGTGAATTTATGAGGCCATGTGGAAAATAACACAGCTAGTTAGTTTGACTAAGATTTATGGCAGAGTTTTTTTTTGTCGATTTAATTAGAACTATTTACTAAATCTCTATGACTAACAAAATTTAGAACTGCCCATACAGGCAGATGCAATTTTAATTAGTACTCCGGCGATTTCCGTTACTTGGAAAATCTTGCTTTTAAGGGAAATGTCATCGACACGACACGAACTTTTGAACGAAACTCACGAACGCACTCACGAACACTCGCTCTCTTGCTCGCACTTGCGACTTGGTTAGCGAGGGGAAAACTCTAAAGAAAACTCTGGCTTCGTCGGCGAGCGTTCGAGGGAAATCACATGTTTCATGTGCAAAGTATAAAAACAAACTGAACACCGAATGCGGAAAGCCGACAAGGCCGACCGACTAACATACATTTTTTCCCATTTCCGATCTCTTTAACATGCTGCTGTTACAGCCATAGAAATTTCTCAGCTAGAGAAAAGCTCAAAGCTTCACTGTTAAGTTAGATAACAGAGCAACCCGCAATTGGGCCATGTTAAGTTAGGTTTTGGTATTCTTTTTTTGTTTTATTTTCTAGCCAAATTCCCACACATAACTCGCACTTGTCGGGGGAAATGGAATTAGAAATAGAAATAGAAATAAAGATAGACAGCCGTGCAACCTCAGAGTGCAATTAACGCTTGTTTATGGCTAACACAGTGTCAGTTCACTGCGATTCGTCACCCAACTCAGTTGGAGATTCGAGTTTCAGCTTTTGTGGCTCACCACAAATCACTTATGGAGCTATAATTAAATTCACGCCCGGCAGCAACAGGTGAGTGGCAACCGCAATGAGCTTGTGGCGCCTCAAACTGAGCATTAAGCCGCAGAAAAGCAAATAACAAGCCATAAATGCCAAGAGCTCAGAAGGGGCTAATATTATTTGCAAATATTTAAATCTCTTCTAAAAACATTTTGAAAAATACTAAAAAGTTTATTACCTATTTATGTCAAGTTAATAACTTAAGGTACTTAAACTGATTAGTAATTCCCTCCAATTAAATCAAAAACAAAGGAATCTCCGTCTCAACTACATCTTTCTCTCAATGCTAAACTGAGAAAACATCTTGTCCAAAATAGTTCCTTAAATGTTACTATTTATCCATCACTTCACCTGTACTACCTACCCGCTGACACTAAATCATATTTAGGTAAGTGATATTAAGGAATGCGGAAAAAAACAAATAGATATTTGGTTCTTAGCCCCAGCTGAGCCAATAAATCAATTCCAACCAAAGTCAGGCAAACACACAAGACGTTCAATGTTGGCCCAGGCATTCCTTAGCCTGAATTTCATTACGAATGCCAGACACAGGGGCACGCAGCTGGATGGCCACTCAAGCCAAACAGTTGGCCGGAACGAAAGGATCCCAAGGAGGCCCAAAGAGACCAAAGGACAGCGGGACAGGGACATTCAAGTAGCCAGAATGGGACAACAAAACATGGCAGCTGCCTCCAGTCAAGTCAAGTGGAAAGTGGTTCTGGTGACAGGGGGCAAAAGTGTGTTAACATACTAATATTCACTTTGCATCTTAATCGTAGTTGTCCTGGCCAAAGGATGTTATTCAATGAGAGGAATGAGATGAATGCCATGGCTGAGTGTTCGCACGGCCAATTTCAATTGCTGTCTGTAGTTGATATAATCATCATTATGCGGACATATTTATGTACAGGTAATTTATCGAGCAATTTAACTGCTATGAATAATAATCAGGAAGGAAGAAAATATCCTTAATTGGTAAGTCAATCTTTGGTAAATTTTACCTTTATCAATATCAATTAGGTGTTATAACTTATTTGTTGTCAATGATGGATGAGGTGCTAGTTAAGAAATAAAAAATAAACCTTTGGATTTTAGACTATTAAATTCTATAACATTCACCAAAGCGCCATCTGTTGTTCCTTTAGGGAATGTAAAAGTCTCCAAAATAAGCTTTGTAAAACTAAACTCAATGAAAGCTATATCCATTAAAAGAAGAGCACTGGCAGTATCCTTTGACTAAGAAAGGATTTGTAATGGAAGCTCTTTTTATCTCTCATTTTATGCACAGCTTTCCCTCTCTGATTTTCACTTTTTCTCCATCCCTTTCTATACATTTTGCCTCTCTGTCCTTTAAGCTTGTACTGCGAATAACAAGCTGAAAGCATAAGCAGCACGAACACGTGGTAGAAACCAAAGGAAGAGAAACTTTCATCACATTGTTCAAGAGAGTGAAAGAATTAAAAGAGAGAGAAAATGAGAGGAGGTGGAATAAGAAGGGAAAGGGAAAATCAAAGGAAAACATGTGCGACTCATCGCCAACTTCCAGGAGCGGACATTCCTTAGGCACAAATCGCATTCATGGTAACTGACATTTTCGCTGGCCTTTTGCCTGGCCCTTTTTTCTACCATTTTCCTGACCTACTCGTCCCCAGGTTGACCTCCGTTGGCCTTCACTGGTGCTGCATTTGCAACTGCCCGCTTGCCTAATTGGCAATTTCAGTGAAAGCAAATTGTTGTGGCCGTTAATGTTGCTACGCTTCTTTCTTTCTTTCCTTTGGCTTCCTGTTGATTTCTAGATTAATGAATTTAACACACGCACGGGTCTAAATGTGGAAATTTAATTTGGAAAAATCTAGGCGATGCTTAAACTTCCCATTAATATAAAGACTTGTTGCATCAATTTTTTAATGAAACCTTATGACGCAACCCGGGCGTATACGTAATGTGCGCAATGACGCCCGCCGGAAAGTATGCTACAAAGCACTTTAACCATCTAAGGAACATTTCTACTGAATGGTTTTATCCTTGTGGTTATGAATAGCGCGAATTGCGCTTAACCAGGAATCAAGATGTGAAGGGGTTTGCCGAAGGAATGTGCTTGGAAAATCCTATTAAGTTGTTGAGCAAGGCAACGCGCTCTCGATTTATTGAGTTTGCTTGCAGAGCAAACGCAATGCGAAAGTAGTTTTTTTTGTGAATTGCCAAGTTCATAAATCCAGGGCAAAGGAATTTGTCTGC